TATTGTTTGATTGTCTGTTGTACACAGTGAGCTAGCTACATTTAGCTTCATTTACCTATCAATAGCAAGCTAAGCTAACGTCCTTCCTGTGCTAGTGTGCTATATCTCGTATTATCTGCAGTATTCACGTGTTGCCATTCTGTTTTGTGCTTGTGCTTAAGTTGTTGTGTGTATATTTGTTTGAGAATCCCTTCCCACTAGTGAGGAGATTACCAACGAGCAATGAGTGACCGGAGTACTTAACATTCTCCTCATCTGGACCTGGTCTCAAACGTACTTTGGACTTTGTAAACTGTTGGTTTTGCACTTTACTTTTGTTTTTAATAAATCTGTGATTGTATCAAGACTTTGTTTCATTCATGTGTCTGTACCAGTTGGGGCGGGTCCCGGCTCAAAAGTGGCCAAATTGACGTGCCCTGACATGCTTGCAATACCACCCGGGGCCAATGGGGGTGGACCCAGAATAAGAATTAGCCAATGCTAACAAATAGCATCTTCTTACCTCTCGAAAACGTCTTTACAGGATGGACCAAAAGTTGGTTCTTGGCCCAAAGCTCCGTTCCACATGTGTGTCAATGCTGAGGGGGGTGAATTTTTCAGACCACTCTAGTTTAGTCGCTGTGAATTTTTGAAGTCTCTCTTTCAAATGAATGGAGCTTGCGCCGGCTGACGCATGCGCAGATGCGTTTTTTCACATTTTCTTGTGGGCGGGACCACTTGCGGTCATTTTGGATAGCTCCAGTAGAGCACAATTTTTGGCCCATTAGTTTGAACGGCGGAGATAGGCGTGACTACATGCGTTAATATTTACAGTCTATGGTCTGTACACGTGCAGAAAAGGGGTTCAAAGTTACGATTTCCTACCATATACTTATATTTGTCAATAAATCCGTATAACCTTGTTCAATTTATGAACATGGATGGAGACATTTGGTAAATACAAAAAGGTTTTATTTTTGGTCAAAATAAATGTTTAGGCATATGACAAGCGGCGCATCGGATAGCCCTCCTCCTCTGCAACACTGCTACACAGGCTGCTGTTGCTACAGGTATGTCCCATTCTGTCACAGATCTCTCCGTGGTTTTCGCAGATTTTACAGAGCACAGCAAGTCAGCACCATTGACTTCACATGTTCAATTTCTGAGTCATTCCTTTAACCCTGCCAAAAGCAATTTCAACAACCACTCGCGCTGTGCTGAATTTTCTATTAAATACTTGCTGTTAGTCTGTCACTCGGTGTCCTGAAAAGGTTTTAGGAGCCAGTTCTGAAGGGGGTAAGCAAAGTCCCCTCAGAGGTAATAACCTGCTATCACCGATACTATAATAAATCCATGCACCGCGCCAATGTTACTAGTTACGCGTCACGCGTAAATGATGTGGTCTGACAACGCTGAGGAGATACTAGGAGATACTATTTTTGATAGAAAAACACCTGAATCGTACTGTTACTGTGGAAAAGCGTCATAAGACTGTTAGAGGGTCTAGCTAAAAGGACTGTGGTGATGATCCAGGACACTCAAACATTCTACAACATCTATGGACATTTATCAACACTTGGACATTGGTCAACTCCCCCCATGGACCAATACCTATGTGTTCACTGTCATTGTGTTTGAACAGTTTGATTCTCTGTGACGGCGAATTTGTGATTGGCGCTTTGTTAAATCTTCTGAGATAACTACTGTTGGGATTTTGGCCTATACAAGAATAAATAGAATATAGTGACTCAAAAAGTGATCCGCCAAATGGCTAAGCAAACCATTAAAGGGATATTCTTGTTTTTTTAGATCTGAAATTAAATGGAAAATCTGAAAAATCAAAATAATCCATCAATTATGTAATTGTATCAAATCCATATGGGGCTCGTACGCAATACACAAATGAAAGGTGTGTTCCTGCATATCTGCATATGTCGTATCATGGTGTAATTAATGCTGAGATAGTTGATGTACTAAATGCTTTTTCAAGTTTCTAGTTAATGGTGTTAACTAGCTTTAGTGGTGCAAAATGAACTGGCTGACTGCACAAGATCTTTATAGACCACACAGTTTCTGTTTGCTGTCTGACAACCACACTATCTTTGTTTACATTTTAATTGGAAAACTGGATATATACCAACTGCAAATACATGATGTAATAATGTGTGTGGATTAGATTTGCGCTGTTTTGCATTGAACTGAACTAAAACTATTTCAGATTTCAACTATTTATTGCGACAGGCAAACGATTTCTCTGACATAACGTTGTTTTCATGTATTTACTTTTCATTGTAGCCTGTGTACCTCATCTAACCCGCGCTGACATGAGCTAACACCAGCGCACTGTCTCAGCAGGTGGCAGCGAGCGATAAAGACCGAGCCAATCGAGAGGAAGAGGCGATAAAACGGACCGACAGAAAAAGCTGAGACTGAATGGAGAATTGCACACACACCGTGGCAGAGACAGGACAAAGGATGAGCCTGAGTGTAAACGCTAGGGCAGGCGAATCAAAGTGGGTTTGTTGAAGACAGATAAATTCAGAAATAACAAAAGTTCCTCTCAGGCAATTATTATGTGGATAGTGTCAAATAAACACCAGCCAAATCAGGAATCCTCTTGATGTCAATCTGCATTCTCCATTACTTTGAAAAACTCTAGTGCACTTTCATGTGCAGTATATCATTCACAGCTATGTCCAATTCAATAAAAAGCCATAGTTTGGTGTGGCCAATATCAATGTAAATTGATTCATTCCCTTAAATATCAAAACTAAACACAGACCAGTTACAGAAGCCGGACACCAGAGTATTACTCGATAGAGGGAAAGGAATATCTATTTTAGACAATGTTATAGTAGAAGGAAGGAAGGTTTTGAAATAAAATTAGGAGAGTTTTTGTGAATAATCTATTTTGGTTTTTATAGTCTATGGCACAATGGATAACAAATATAGTGATGCTTTATGCAAGGAACAAAGATACAGCGATAACCCTCAGGGGGAAAAAAACTAACATGTGATAGTATATAATATATGGTTATAAACATCCACGTCTTTTGATCATAAATGAAGAAACTTCTCAGCAGCTAGTATTGTGTTATACCCCATACAGCGGTAAAATGACTGTGGAGCCCGCATCTTGAGTGCCTATGGAGAAGCCATTAGCTAACCGAGTTAGAAGATCTCTAGGGGCTTAAGATACTTTATGGGACAACTACAGGAGTTCTAATGCAACTAATGTCATTAAAGTTTAGACCAAAGACATTACAGGAAGTCATGAGAATAATTATATGAAAGGATTATGTGAAATTAGATGAACATGCGCATGATGAGTTAAGAGTATTGTGTAAATGTGCACTTCCCTTGTGGAGAGCCCCCCCCACCCCCGATTTATCCATAGAGAGGTTTGTATTTAGTCTTGTTTTTATAGTATGATATTCAATGTATCTAGTGAGAATTGTAAATTACATTAAGTCAAGTAAGATCCCAGTCCATAATATCAATATCTGTTTTAAATACAAAACAGGTTTAAAAAAAAAACTGCCAGACAGACAAATTTAGAAGCAACCGGTGGAACATTCACAGAGACTAGCAAATAGCAGACAGACTAGTCTCCATGAAAATAGCATATTTCGTCTTTGAATAGTGCATGGACTCGTTAAAGGCACAATGCAGTTCCACACAGAACCAAACATAAAAATGGGATGTCAAAATACCCATGTCTGTCTCAGCCCTCATCCTCTCACTCTATCCCTGGACCAGAGTCTGTGAGAGAAATCCAATTTTGTCGCAGCATCATGTTGTCCTGATAGGATCTATCACCTGGAGCAGAGCGGCAGTGCTCCGAGGCCATATCCCCCGCCAAGATGAACGAGGTATGTCTTACACTCGGAGTGATGGGTCCGATCATTTCTCTAGATAACAGTCGCCATATTCATTTTGTGAAGATGGAAAGACTGAGGATCTCTATATGTCTTCAGATCATCATGTCTCCAGTTTGAGGAAGTTTATAATCCAACATGAGTCAAACTTATGTGTAGTTTAATCAATCATTGCCTTTTGCGACACAGCCCTGCCACACCTGCTGAATTAGCAAACTAGAATTGCAACAACTCAGAAAAAGCTTTGTCCCCAGATGGCCTCTTCTGTAAGGATGCTCTCTCCTCTCACATACTGTACATACAGGGGTCTAGTTTCACTGCAGCTAAATGACACTACAGCAGAGTCACCCAATAAGGTCAATACTGGAGGAGAAATGACTTGCATAGTGATGGCAGCTTACATAGAAATTGTCACAGCGCTGCACATCTTTGCCTTTCATTTATAGCTATAACATGATTAAACACTCGTGGGGTAATAGTGACTTATGATGTTAGGGAGAGACTAGCTGTGAGAAGAGATAGTAGGGTCAGGGAACACATTTGTTAGACTTGGTGGTTGTGAAAGATCATCATGAGTTAGATGATCATAGAAATGCTCATTTGGAAGGTCCTAACACATTCATAAAGAAATAAATTAAACATTATGCCTAAATGGTGTGATTAGGAAATATAAAGGCAGTTGATGTGCTGCTGGGTCTTTTATTTATCAATGAAATACTGTATGCCTCAATCAAATCAATCATGCCACCATTAACCACGGCTAGAGTCTATCTCTGCTTTTCTGATGGCTTTGTAAATATGTCTTGTACATGTGAAATGTGCTTTTATTTTGTGATGTATGTGTTTCTTGCTCTCCCCTATGTATTTTACTGCAATTTATTATTGTTTCACTTTTTAATGTTATTATCTTTAGGGAGACTATGTACACCTGTCCAAGGACTGCGGATGAAATATAACCTACTTGGCTAATTCTAATAAAATAAATGAATTACTTTGAGCAGAAAAGTAGTGTTAAATAACAATCTCCCAGCACCATCACACATAAAGACTTACATAACGATTTTTGACAGAAATACAAATTGCTGTTATAGGTGCCATTAGTACCTATTTGTCCAGTCCTGTAGTAACAGTATTCGTATGTACCTTCATGGCCTGTGCTTTCTTATGGAACATCTCCTCCATGTCTTGTGCGAGCTGCTTGACCAGGCGCAGTCCATCAATCTCCTCCACTCGCACTGCACGCTCAAACTCTTTGTATTTCTGAAAAACAAAATGTAACATTCATATTTAATTAAAATTCATTGTGCAGTTGTAACGGATACAGAGCATATATGTCATAACTGTTAGGAATTTACTTAATGGATATTTTGGATCTGAATCAAGCTTTTAGTGAAAGCAGCGAAATACCTTTTAAGAATTCTAAAGCTTAAATGATAAAGATGACACACCAATAATTCTTCCTCCAACCTCAGCTCTCAGATTAACTGCACCTCGGTTTGGGACAGTGACGTTAAGTCGGGCTAATTCCACACGCAGTATACTACGCACATGTGCCATCACGAGACAGGCTGAAGAAGGCTCAAGTTCATGTACTTTTGCGAAGGGACAGGGAAATATTTTAGAAGCTGCACTGTGGGGATTTAGCAGAAGATTACCTCCAAATCAAATGGCATGGCCTTTCTAATGTTGTGCCAACCTGCTTACACACAGGCAAAGAGCTGATCGGCAGAAGGCAACGGAGCGACAGGGGCAGGAGGGCGAGGAATTACATAATTTAAAAGGAAAGGAGCCACAACAATAAAAAATTCAACATTTTTAAGTTTGCTCTGCCAAATATTTGTTCTTTCAAATTTGTATAAGGTTTTCTTCAACTTTTAAATACAGAGACCATCAGATATGAGCATTAAAATACTTTCATAAATACACGTAAAATAGCACAGTGCAAAGAATTATTTGTAAATAAGTAACGTAATAACAAAAAAATATTATTAGTATTACTAGGCCTGTCATGATAATTAACTATAGGGCACTGTCCGGTTTCCGAAATGTGCTAAAAATAGCTCAGATGACTGCGCATGCGCGCATGTTTCGGACAAACATTGTGTACGACTCGTTGAGTTCTACTGTGTTCTCCTCATACGCGTGTGTATTTATTTGGGCTAAATCATTGAATCATGGTGACAACAAAACACTGCAGTTATGGTGCTTGTCGGAGCGATTTCAGATACTCTGAAAAGGACTATGAAAGTAACATTCAACCCGTTCGTCAAACCACAACATCGGACCAGACCAGGACCAGACCAGGACCAGATCAGACCAGGTGGGTGCTTGTGGTCGGCAGAATTTCTCTCATGAAAAGGTTAAAAAGGGCACATGTTTTTTCAAAACACTTCGCTGGACCAACTGTGGAGCATCCAGATCCAGTCCTAGCTACGTTTAGCTGGGACTGGATCTGGACCGCTGTATCAGGTCCGTCTGAGCTCTTCTGAATGTAGTTAGCACAAACTTTCTCTTTACACCATTTACCCCCATCAATCCATATTAGTATTGTTTGTCCTAATCCAGAAAGTATACAATTCTCACACCTGAAGAAAGATGAGAGGGATTTTTTTCAACTTTGTGTCTGCTTATTATACGGCTTTGTACCAATTGAACACACAAAATAAACGTCATTCACTACTCATGCCGAAAGGTTTATTTAATGAGTGCAAAGAAAATAGTTCCCAAAGGTTTTCCCGTGGCAGGCGAGTAACAGTGAGGATAGTTAACCTAAAAGCGATCGCTTTAGTCGCATTAAAAAAGTATTTTTGTCATGAAAACCTGAACAGTTAATTCTGAAAACCTCCGTGCACTTGTGTTATGAATGTGTATAATGTATTCTCCCATTAACATTTAAATGTGTTGATTGATTGTCATTTGCGTTTACTGAGTGTGGCTAGCTCTGATAGTTTCTCTCAGAGACAGTAGTGGCGTAACCCGTTGTGATCATGGATTTATTATAATATCAGCTGACTGTAGCTAACTAATGATCAAACTAATTACAAAGTGGATAGTGCAAAAACAACTTGATAAATGGAAGTTAATCACAGCAAAACAAACAAAGAAGGCGCTAGCATTGCAATTTAAATGGCTAGATAATGTTAGCATAATCCTCACCATTATCTTTTTATCAATTCAAACCGTCTACCAGTTACTGGAAGACCACGACATTCAAGCCAACGTTATAATTGGTCTACACTATGATCCCTGATGGTTTGATGGTGGAATTTTGCCCCTGGTATATCATTTTCGTCTAAAGTGACAAGTGGTATTTGATTCATTTCGGCAGTGTTTGTCCGAAACATGTGGGCGGGAGTTGACAGACGGCGGGGGCGTGTCTTAGTGACGTCATTTAGATAGTTCGCTATATTGACTTAAAGGCACACCGTGTAACTCTTGGCCACTAGGGGCGCTAGACCTGCAACTTTCACGTTTAGCGCCCCTAGTGGCCACAAGCAACTCAGCACTGTCGCAAAAGTCAACAAACAGTCAGCCGGTGTCTTTTGAGTGTGTATTCAGACAGCATGCACTGGTGTGTGTGTTCAAACTGTAGAGACATGCCTACAGATATTGAGAGACTCTGCTGTGGTCAGCCTCCAGACCGCTGCATTAGTAATCTACCACACATGGACTTCTATATCCTGGATGAGGGAGTTCTGCGTCTAGCTCGTGCTGCGTGGAATGACATCTTTGCAGTCGATGACATCCGGGAACCAGGTGAAGAGCAGCGCTCATACAGACATGCAGCTTACAGCACGATTCCTTTCGCGTTTCCTCTTTTTAGCCTCCTCCGAAGGTTTAAAATGTTTCCTTGCCTCAGCCATGACCAGGAGTCGAGCAGGTGAAAAATGAGTAGCAAAAGCCTTAGCTCCATGAGTATATCAGCGCCTGTAGCCGTAAAGCAAGTCTTTCTTCCAAGTCACGTGACCTGGTGGCAGACGGTCCGTCTGCTCGAAACTTACATGGGCGGTATTTCAAGAGGGCAGCCCCGCTCGGAGCATTGCAAGTGTCAAGCGCTGTATATTGGCCCAAGTATTCATATAAAATAACTCATATGTGTCAACTCTTTAGGTCACAAAGTCCGCGGTGTGCCTTTAACGTTGGATAACTAATCGATTAAACAATATAAATTTTGGTTTCAATATTCTATGTCTTTACATTTTTTACACTAGTTGGTTCGGTTCACTTTAACTGGACCAATTCTGGTTTAACCAGGCAAAATGCTTTATTTGTGGATGTAAAACCAGAAAAGAAGTGAACAGGTGTCCACTCGACACTCAAGTTGGTTTGCCTCTTTTGAAACAGATCTGTGAAGCAGATTTGATTTAGTTAAAGTGACCCGGACTAAAAGGGTGAAAGCGCCCTGAGGTTGCAGAAGGTTCATCCATCCATCCATCCATCTTCTTCCCCTGTGTACTGGGTGCAGTCAGAGCTGCACCCATTACACAGAGCACCAGCCCCTCACTGAACCTCCTGCAGGTGGTGAGTCCAGAGGAGCCTTGATCTTTCAGTTGGGGCTTCAGGCAAAGTTGGGTTAAGTGTCTTGCCCAAGGACACAACGACAGCAGTCATCAGTGGGAGTCGTGAAGTAGGTCTTGTGGTGGGCACGAACCCACAACCTTCAGGCTCAAAGGCCAGTGCTCTACCAACTGAGCCACAGAGGGTTCAATATGGTTAAATTACTTCTGCAGTTTAATTTCTTTGCACATGATTTTAAATTAAATGGAGACATTTAATACATCTTTACTAGGATTATCCCACTACATTTTGCTTGACCCAGTGAGATTAAGTAGTTTCAATAGTTGATTGCATTGATTTTCTGAAGCAATATATTGTCCATAAAAATGATTTATCACGACACATATCATCACATTCTGGTCCGAGCAAAGGAGCTTTCCACCAATAAACAAGTGAGTGGCTTATACCTTTTTGGCAAAAGTTCTAAAAAATGTGTTATAGCATATAAAGTCATTTCACACTTCAACCTTTGATTGGCTTCCAAAACATCACGTTTGTTGCCAAATCAATTTACAAATTCCAGCCAAAACAATTCAGAGTTTCAAATTCTGTTCAGAAACCCTGGAGGCGAGATCATGTACATATGGCAATACTGGAACAATTACAAAGACAAACAGAATAAGAACATTTAAAAAAACAATAGAGTTGCTCCGCTGAATTAGGAATGCCTTCTAACAATGAGCTCATGACCTGAGAGAGTTATTGGTACATACAGTGTGTTAGACCAAGGACATCAAAGTGCTTTGCTGGCGCCTGGAGGGCTGTTCCGAGTTCAATCAAAGTGACTGCTGATGACTAAGTGAAAATGATAACAACTGGCATGGCTTGGCGAAAAATTCTGATAATTCTATTGACAGATATAACAACAGCAGTCACATCTTTCCCCATTCCAAACGCCAAACCAATGAGTTCTGCAAGGGAATAGTGCCCTAAATCTGTATTTTAAAGTATGGAGAACCTTATTTTCACACAATTACTATGTATTTAATAAAAATCCATCGATCCATCATGACAAGTTTCCTCATTCAATCCTATCATTAGTTTTCCCATGCATGTATTGTTTTGCTTCTGTCTCATCTTGAAAAAGAGAGGACTCAGCCAGCTTGCAGCCCAAACTGTAATACAGTTATCGGATGGGAAAGAGAAGGTTCTTTGGACCCGGTTTTAAAAAGGAGACCACTGGATTAAAAGCAATTAAAAACTATTCATTATAAACACATAAAAACAAGTAAAAGAATGAAAGTAATAAAAACCTAAGCTAAAACCAGAGGCTAAAATTGGCTAAAATAACGTCCACTTGTCCACGGCCTGGTCTGCCAGACCACGGGGCTCTTCCCCTCCCGTGTCTGGCTCCCATGTCTGGCTCTCTGGCCTTTCTCCCTTCCCCCTCCCCATCTCCGTCTTCTATGCTCAAGGCGCAGGTGTCTTGACTGTCCATCACGTGGGGAGCAGGGGGGCTTCGGGTGGTGCAAGTCAGCCAAATAAAAACACACAACATGCATAATAACACAAAGCAAACGTTAAAAAACCCACCACCCTTTTGCACCCGCCGACATAGTGACTCACATTTGGTTTGAAAAACACCAAAAGATAAAAATGCTGTTCCCATCTTTTTAACTTTACAAGACTTTCTGTTGAGATAAACACACTGTACAATAAGAAAGGTACTCCAGCTTTAATACTCCAAAAAGGCTCACATTCTC